GTTTTACGCCGCACTCCGATTCGGAATGAATGAGAAGCATTGGAGCGCTACAATCTCTATGTGATAAATGTGTTTATGCGTAGAAATGTGATCAATGATTCCAACTGCTGTTTTTGTAGACCATGAGATTGAAATTTGTTGTTAATAAATTTCGAGAATATGAAAATTTGTTTTTAATAAATGTTGAGAATATGGAAATGAAAAATAAGTAATAATAGAGAAACTCTCAGCAGTTAAGCTGCCAAACACGGTCACCCATCCAAGGACTGTTCGTGACTGATGTTGCTGAATGACGAGGCCTACAAAGAAAACTTTCCCACTGTGCAGAAAAACACAGAAAAGCCCACATTAATCGTGGCAAGCCCACATTAATTTAGCAACATAAACATAATACCTCGCTACTGAAACAGTAAAAACGGCAACGAAAGACTGTGAAACTGCAACATTTTTGTATCAGCGAACTTTGACCTCTACTGCGCATGCTCATTTCAAATTTCCGAGCAACCTTGAATCGCCCCGCGTAGAAAAAGTATTGAATATGTCGAAATAATTGCTGTCAATCATTTCATACGAATGGAAAGATGACTGTACTTTTGCAAACTGTGCGTGCAACAGGTTTCTGATTTACTTGTAGTCCAAAGTACATACCTGTTGTATACCTGTCCACAATTAATTAATTTTTTACCTCCCACCCAGGGAAACTCATGAAGTGAATGATTTAAGGGGTCGCTATTGAACGTGTCTAGACAGGGGGTAACGCGTACAGTATAAACGAGATGGACAACGCCAGGTCCCATCCCTGCTTGTAATACTACAATGTCTGTACTACAGGTAATCGAGGCAAACCAAGGCTGTAGAAGGCAAGCTGACTGCAGAAGAGTAAACTGTTAATTAACATGAATAATCAATAAATCAATATCTTCAGGTGTTCAGGTGAAACGACCAGTTATTACAGGTGGATACGATTTTTTCATTTCCGTTATAGCATTGTCCTATTTGTTTATTTGGACTCCATATCCCAGCTTCATCATGTTGCCCGGTGCATAGTCGAAGCTAGGCACCAAGTTGCACGTTATGGCATTGTTCTATTTGTTTATTTGGACTCCATATCCCAGCTTCATCATGGCGGCTTGCACATAGTCTAGTCTGGGCACCCAGTTGTACATTATAACATTGTCCTACTTGTTTATTTGGACTCCACATCCCACCTTCATCATGGCGGCTTGCACATAGTCTAGTCTGGGCACCCAGTTGTACATTATAACATTGTTCTATTTGTTTATTTGGACTCCACATCCCACCTTCATCATGGCGGCTTGCACATAGTCTAGTCTGGGCACCCAGTTGTACATTATAACATTGTCCTACTTGTTTATTTGGACTCCACATCCCACCTTCATCATGGCGGCTTGCACATAGTCTAGTCTGGGCACCCAGTTGTACATTATAACATTGTTCTATTTGTTTATTTGGACTCCACATCCCACCTTCATCATGGCGGCTTGCACATAGTCTAGTCTGGGCACCCAGTTGTACGGTATAACATTGTCCTATTTGTTTTTTTGAACTCCATATCCGAGCTTCATCATGGCGGCTTGCACATAGTCTAGTCTTGGCACCCAGTTGTACATTATAACATTGTTCTACTTTGTTTATTTGGACTCCACATCCCACCTTCATCATGGCGGCTTGCACACATAGTCTAGTCTGGGCACTAAGTTGTACGGTATAACATTGTCCTATTTGTTTATTTGGACTCCATATCCCACCTTCATCATGGCGGCTTGCACATAGTCTAGTCTGGGCACAGTTGTACGGTATAACATTGCCATATTTGTTTATTTGAACTCCATATCCCAGCTTCATCATGGCGGTCTGCACATAGTCGAGGCTGGCCACTAAGTTGTACGGTATAACATTGCCCTATTTGTTTATTTGAACTCCATATCCCAGCTTCATCATGGCGGTCTGCACATAGTCGAGGCTGGCCACTAAGTTGTACGGTATAACATTGTCCTATTTGTTTATTTGGACTCCATATCCCACCTTCATCATGGCGGCTTGCACATAGTCTAGTCTGGGCACCCAGTTGTACATTATAACATTGTTCTATTTGTTTATTTGGACTCCACATCCCACCTTCATCATGGCGGCTTGCACATAGTCTAGTCTGGGCACCCAGTTGTACGGTATAACATTGTCCTATTTGTTTATTTGGACTCCATATCCGAGCTTCATCATGGCGGCTTGCACATAGTCTAGTCTGGGCACCCAGTTGTACGGTATACCATTGTCCTACTTGTTTATTTGGACTCCACATCCCACCTTCATCATGGCGGCTTGCACATAGTCTAGTCTGGGCACCCAGTTGTACATTATAACATTGTTCTATTTGTTTATTTGGACTCCACATCCCACATTCATCATGGCGGCTTGCACATAGTCGAGTCTGGGCACCCAGTTGTACGGTATAACATTGTCCCTATTTGTTTATTTGAACTCCATATCCGAGCTTCATCATGGCGGCTTGCACATAGTCTAGTCTGGGCACTTAGTTGTACATTATAACATTGTTCTATTTGTTTATTTGGACTCCATATCCCACCTTCATCATGGCGGCTTGCACATAGTCTAGTCTGGCACCCAGTTGTACGGTATAACATTGTCCTGTTTGTTTTTTGACTCCATATCCGAGCTTCATCATGGCGGCTTGCACATAGTCTAGTCTGGGCACCCAGTTGTACATTATAACATTGTTCTATTTGTTTATTTGGACTCCACATCCCACCTTCATCATGGCGGCTTGCACATAGTCTAGTCTGGGCACCCAGTTGTACGGTATAACATTGTCCTATTTGTTTATTTGGACTCCATATCCGAGCTTCATCATGGCGGCTTGCACATAGTCTAGTCTGCGCACCCAGTTGTACGGTATAACATTGTCCTACTTGTTTATTTGGACTCCACATCCCACCTTCATCATGACGGTCTGCACATAGTCGAGGCTGGGATATCATGGTGTACTTATTGACAGATCCTGAAATAGAAGTTAAAAGTTACACTACATCAAATCAGAATCTGTATTTTGACAAGTAGTTTTCGTCCCGAATCATCAGTGCGGATTGAATCATCTGAAAGCTCTGATTGGGTGATTTTGTGTTTTCTAAAAGTACATCCATCCAGTAATTTAAACTGACCATATCTTTAATGTTTAGTGTTGTCTGTTTCTAGTGATGATTTATACTGATTGTGACCACAGGTATTTTCATCAGTTTTGTGCGGAACTGGGGTTGATCTGTTCAGCTTCCTGTACTCGGAAAAGGTGAGGTGAGGTGAAATTGGGTTTAACGTCGTGCTTGAGAATATTTCGCTCATATGACGACGTGCATGCGTGTGTATGTGTATGTGCGGCTGCTTGTACTAGCCCAGACTTAAGCTGGTTTTATAGTGCTAGCCTACCGAGATACCATGCCGCAGTGAAGCATGAATACCCCACTCAGACACATTATACTGACTCCGAGCCGACCAGTCCTTGTTGTACCCATTAATGCCGAGCGCCAGGCAGGGACCAACAAGTACCATATTTTAACGTCTTTTGGTATGACGCGGTCGGGGATCGAACCCGCGACCTTCCGCTCTCCGGGCGGACGCTTTAACCACAACACCACGGAGGCGGTTACTCGGATAAGGAGCTGGCTGAGGTGTTCATAATCTATATAAACGTTCTGTGAATTTCTAGTGCCTGTTTGAGTCACGCGATTGTTCGATAGGTCAATGGGGCGTCACTTTTAGAAACTGATAAATTATCCAGATATAGTTCTGCATCTCTCCGCTTGATTGACAGTGCAATCACGTAACACACTAACGTTCATCTGGAAATGAACAACAGCTGTCCTGACAGTGTCGATACAGACAAGGTCACCGCTAACGTCAGTTTAAAGGGATTGACGTTGTATTTGCCACTGCTCATCAGTTCGAGAAGACAGTGCATCACGTGATGTAACTCCATGACGCGCGGAATATCGACAGCTCTGTAACCCTCCGCTTGATTGACAAAGTGATATATATCAATTCTCGAACCTTCGTCCACGTGAACAAAAAGCGCTTGCGTGACGAACGAATGATCATGCGGTTTGGGTAAGCTGTTAGTTTGCAATATGGATACACGTTTTCAGCGAATCCGAAATATTCTGAAATATCTCGGACCTGTTAAAAAGGATTAAAATGTTGCATAACGAGCAGACCGTGAAGATCTGGGTTAGAATTGGTCTTCAGCAACCCATGCTTGTCACAGAAGGCTACGAACGGGATCGGGTGGTCATCGTATCCCAATTGCTTAGATCGATGCTCATGCTGTTGATTACTGGATTGTCTGGCCCAGACTCGACTGTTTACAGACAGCCTTCATATAGCTGGAATATTGCTGAGTGTGGCGTTAAGCAACAAACCAACCATTACGAGCAACATTGTGAAAAGTAATTACTGATTTTATTAATGCTTTTCCCTTGTATGCGCAGATACATTTCAACATTTTGATGTGGTTCATCCGTGGCCTGGTGTACACCTATAAACAAGCATATGATCAATATAAAAATCCATATTTCCACGGAGTGTTGTTTCTATATATATTATGCTTATGTCCATAATGCGAATATATTATGACCTATAAAACCTTTTAAATCTGAGGGGCTTGTGTTTAGGGGGATCTGTCTGTGTAACCAAAATTTAAACCACTCTGCAATGTACCAGCTATATGGCGGCGGTCTGTAAATAATCGAGTATATAATATTCATAGTTACAAATAAACCCATTTAAATTGAAAAAGAGCCCCAGTGAGTTGGGAGATTCTGGGAAATCTAAACTTGGTTCATTCAGGGCTTTAGCACTACAGGGAGGGCAAGGCAGTAAGGAAAACAATGCAGGTCACGGTCCAGTGAATCCACGTTGGAAGCTCCAGTGAGTCCATGCTGTTATGTCCATCGAGCCAGTGCTGGGGACCCCACAAAACTGCTGGCAGAACACAGAGTCACGCGTCGGCTGGATAGCTGTGAAATATACACGACGTACAATTGTAGCCTCCACAGACATATATCGGGCGCTCTCAGTTGTAGGTAAGTCATATATGAATGCATTTTTCGTTCTTTATTAACGTATATGAGAAATCCGCAAAATATGGAAACAACACGAAATTTCCTGTAATAATTGACATTGTACACTGGTGAACTTCGTCTCTTTGCGTATATATAACATAATAATATATAAACTATATAAGAAATTCGCCTCTCGTAAATATATAGCATATTTATGTATATAAAAAACTATATAAAACTAAAACTATATAAAACTTCTCCTCTTTACGTACCTATATTACAGTGAATATGTAAAACCAGGGATTATGTATAATCCCTGAAATTTTCAGTGATTATGTATAATGTCTTATTCACTCAGTGATTATACATAATCACTGAAATTTTCATGGATTATACATAATCACTGAAAAATAGACTAGAGCTATAGACAATTCCCTGAAATCACGTCTTGTGTAGTTTGGGGTATATTTCACCCCAAAAGATGTGGAATTAGACTTTTGTATTAAGCAGGATAGAGACATTTCTTTGCTACAATATCTTTATTCAACATAATAGATTTATGAATGTTTCATGTACATAAGGAAATGTTTGATGAATATGTTTGGAGAACATCAATTCAGTTTTTATATTGACAAGACAATGATGAGTGGCACCAAACTGAATAGATGTTCTCCAAACATGATATCCCATCATACATTCACGACGTTCGGCAGTGTACAATGCCCAGTTGTGCATTATTACAGGAAATGTCGTGCTGTGTCAATATGTTGTGTCAATATAAACATATATATATTGCCAGTAGATTATTATGTGTATAATAAACACTTTTTTTAAATGTTTACGGAACTGATACGGATTACCACACTTTATCAGAGGTAGAATGTAGTAGGATTTTAGATACATAATGTCAGCGCCAGAAAATATTCACTCTCGCTTGTCCACCCAAGCAGATTCCTTCAGGCGTAAAAGGTATTGTAACTGCGATAAATATCTAAATGAACACTATATATTCTAGAAAAGGGTACACGTCCTGCAATGCCAGTAGGACATGTCCCTCGCTAATTTGCATAACTTTGCATAACTTTGTTGGCATTTTCAGTTTTCCATAAGATCACCTGATTTTACTTCGTTATACATTGCAGCAAATCCTTGATGACAAAATAACTATTTGGCTATTCTAATAAATTTAATATTCGGTGTATTAGTTTTAAGGGCATACCGCAAACTCTGTGTGTGTGTATGTGTGTGTGTGTCTGCCTGTTTGTCTACCTACGAATGTCTCTCTCTCTCTCTCTCTCTCTCTCTCTCTCTCTCTCTATATATATATATATATATATATATGTGTTTTTCTCTCTCTATCTCTCTCTCTCTCTGTCTCTCTCTGTGTTTCTCTCTCTATATATATCTATCTATCTCTCTCTCTGTTTCTCTCTCTCTCTCTCTCTCTCTCTCTCTCTCTCTCTCTCTCTCTCTCTCTCTCTCTCTCTCTCTCTCTCTCTCTCTCTCTCTCTCTCTCTCTCTCTCTCATTTACACTCACCGAGTGTCTTGAACATTTGCATTCCAGATTTTGATTTTGAATAATCATAACAATAATTTCGTAGGGAAATATCAACACTCTGTCACAATTGCCTTTAATTCCATCTTCATCATTTAATATACATAAAACATCTGTTTCGCCATCGTTGTTGCGGCACGACGATGTGCATGAATTGACCTCAATCACGTATCGATTTGTTGTGACACGCATCCCATGAATGTTGTTGATTTCATTGACTGACCTTGACCCTGCTGTGCCCTGTATCTGCAGCTGATTACCAACACTCCGTTAACGGCACAACCAAAAATATTTAGACGTCAAAACGACGCCAAAATGTCCAAAACTGCCAAACCACTTTTCAGGGAGAGGTCTTTACGTGGACCCGGAATAGAGATATTGCTATCTATTTCTTGATGAAATGCATCGTTTCTCTACACATCTTTGTCGCCACTTACGACAAGTATGGGTTGTTGAAGATCAGTTCTAACCTGGATCTTCACGGGTTTGGGGGGATAGAGTCGTGTATTTTTCTTCATTTATAGGGTGTGAGTTTGTAACGTTTAGTTTCTTTTTAAAAGACAGCTGGGTTTTATTTTTCATTTCACACTATGTTTAAATTATTGATGATATGTTATTTTCCGATATCACTGGTGGTAATTCTACAACAGAACAATTTTGTTACAACAGAAATTTTTGTTATAATGAAGCATTTCAGTATGATGCAAACCATTCATATTAAAGCTGTGTGAACCCCAGTATGCAATTTTCTTCAAATTGACAGAAAACATGTGAAATCACTCTCGGTTTAGTCTATAATCACGCTGGCTACGACCCTTGAAGATATCAGTAGGAATTGGTCTTCAGCAACCCATGCTTGTCGTAAGAGGCGACTAACGGGATCGGATGGTTGACAGGTGCTCATGATGTTGATCACTTGATTGTCTTGTCAAGACGCGATTATTTACAGACCGCCATCATATAGCTGGAATACAGCGTGTGGAAGAAACAAAATGAGATAATCTACCCCGGTTAAGCGAGTGTGGTTTAACAGCGACATGGGCTTTGATGTATACCGGTTTTACGCAGAAGTGATCAATATAAAAACAATTTCAAGGGGTATCACCTTAATTGGGCTTAAACCCGTATGTAGAACGAACAGAGAAAGCATAAAGAAATCCCTTCAACCACTTGGCTACCCCAGCCCGATGCTGACGTAAAACAGGCATATTGCAGCGTTAGTTAGTGAGTGAGTGAGTGAGTGAGTGAGTGAGTGAGTGAGTGAGTGTTACTTTTAGCAATATTCCAGCAAATATCACGGTGGGAGACACCAGAAATGGGCTTCACACATTGTACCTATCTGGGGAATCGAACCCGGGTCTTCGGCGTGACGAGCGAACGCTTGAATCACTAGGCTACCCCACCGTCTCTATTACAGCGTTAAGCAACACTCCTGTACAGTTATGGGGACACGTGTTGTTTTTCCGTCACGATAAAACTCGTATAATGACCCCAGGGCAAATAGGCTGAGACTAGGGTATGAATTAATGTATTACCTGAAGAGCCGTGACAGTGTTTCCACTGTCCGTGACATTCCTCTTTCGCTAGTCGTAAAATGCTTTTATTGTAAACACTGTGTTGAAGACGAAGTTCATGTTTTGAATTAATTGTCCGGTTTATAGTCATGAACGTTTTAGTCTTTTAAATACTTGTGATAGCCAATGTCAGAATTTTAGTAATCTTACTGATATACAAAAAACTGCTTTTATCCTGTCCTATAGCAATATCTGTTTTATAGCTGCCAAAACCTGCCATGTTATTTTAAAAAGGAGAAAATCCGTATTATATAATTTTAATTATTCTTACACATAATACATGTACATGCAATTTTTTAAGAATTTTAGTCTCTCATAATTCCGTATGGAATGGCCCTTATGTAAATGTATATATGTATAACAGGGGTGAGACTTTAATAAATAATCTCTCTGTCTGTCTGTCCGTAAACATATTGTTAGTAACGAAACCTATGCAAATGCGGTCATAATAATAACCATTAACCACTATGTATGTGAAAGTGATATATTAGGTTTCAACTAAAGACTGTCTTGAATAAATAATGCCATTTCGAAAGTGATCAAAATGTAACATATGTCATAGTTAGGATTACACTTTCTCAGTAAAGTACAGATTCTAGTACTTTTGTTGAGTCTCATCCGGGACTCGAACCCACACCCTAAGAGTCAGGGCCCTTATTCTCGAAACGTTCTTAAGCCTTAAGAATTCTTAACTTTGATCGTAGCCAATGTGTTAAGAATGGGCTTACGAAGTTCGTAGGGTTACGAACATTTCGAGAATAGCTATCCAGGCACCTAGTCGCCAGCACACAAAGTCAGCAGTCTAACCCACTCAGCCACCCCGACTTGCACAAAATGAAAATCGGACAACTGGTAGTCAAGACCACGGACTTTGTGTACCCCTCTGATAAGTGTAAATTGGCACGACCCCCACGGCCGAAAGCTATGAATAAACAATAGGTTTTGGAAAGTGATCAAATGTAACATATCTTATATTTGGGATTACACGTTCTCAGTTAAAGTTCAGACGCTGGTACTGTTTTGTTTGCCTGTTGTTTGTCCTCCTTGTGAACTTTTATCTCATTGAATGTCATGCGTACAACCTTTTCATTATCGCTGCACGAGGCTTGACGCGAAAGGCGCATGAAAATTACCATCAAATATTACTAGCCACTGATGATGAGCAGCTGACATTTATGGACATAACCACCTGGGTAGAACCCATTGTATACACATTACCCTACCGACCAGGTACATGCGTAAGGTAATTCTTTGTTTGTCTCAAAACGAGAATGTATGGTTGACTGATTTACAAACGATCCGTGACTTTTGGGGAGGACGATGAATTATTAACTGCATGTCCCGTCACGCCTTCAACCTCTCAACCAGCGTGACTCAACAAAAGCATGTGGCGTCCATCGGAATTTTTAAAAGAACACTTTGTTCAGTTTGATGAGGTGAGGTGAAATTGGGTTTAACGTCGTGCTTGAGAATATTTCGCTCATATGACGACGTGCATGCGTGTGTATGTGTATGTGCAGCTGCTTGTACTAGCCCAGACTTAAGCTGGTTTTATAGTGCTAGCCCACTGAGATACCATGCCGCAGTGAAGCATGAATACCCCACTCAGACACATTATACTGACTCCGAGCCGACCAGTCCTTGTTGTACCCATCAATGCCGAGCGCCAGACAGGGACCAACAAGTATCATATTTTAACGTCTTTTGGTATGACGCGGTTGGGGATTGAACCCGCGACCTTCCGCTCTCCGGGCGGACGCTCTAACCACTACACCACGGAGGCGGTCTCAGTTTGATGAGCACACATGGAGACTTATAATATCAACGACAGGCTGTGTTTGTCTGGTCTGGGGTTTTTTAATGGAAGCGAATGAAATTAAAATTAATGGTT